AAAAAGGGGGGGGGGGGGGGGTAAAACAAGGTTGAATTGATCTCTGAGCCTGACAGACAACTCTGGAGCTACCGCGGACTACTACGATTTATAATATTTGCTGAACTCGATCTGTGGTAGCTAATAAGTTCGGAGCGGCACCGATTGGTTCCGACGCCCCGTTGCGGCGCTGTGCTGTGCTGTGCTATTGTCGGTGCCTTCGCGGAGTGTTCTTGACGCCCTCCCTCCGCCTTCGTGCTTAGCGTCCTCCACTGGACAGATCCCTTTGGACCCTGAGAAGAAGTTAAACTGGAGAGCAGTGTTCTCGAGCAGGGTACTGTCAACTGGGCCTTTTCTACTGTGTCTTTTTCCCGGAAGATTCCCTGGGGCTAAAAGGATTTAACCCCGAACACTGTATGAACGAGCTCACAGCCTTAAAAAGCAGGCGCTCGTATGTCACCATATGTACTTAGCTGTACGTAGAGCCGCTTACAAGTCTATGCCAGGAAAAGGAATTTACTAAGGGAGCTCGATTCCGGATTTCCCGAGACTGTACGGTACTGTCTTGTATAGTTTCGTGGGCACATACACGTGTGTCTTAGACTAGTATATACGGTACCGCTCGTAACAAGCGGCCCCTGTGTACTTCTAATCCGGTATTCATTATTCTGAGCACTGCTGAACCAAAAGGTAAGGGTTCAAGCGGGGATCCGGTGTGCAGCTAGCACATATTCCACAGGCAGCTTTCAGGAAGTTTTGCGCAATGGAAGAGCGTGATATCTAGTTTACATGCTTGTGGTTCTGTTTTGTATGGTTATAAGTTTAAGAGGTCTGGTCTGGCGTACTTGAAACGTTCTGAGTCTAGTCTGTTGCCGCTTCGAGGCTAGACGAGTAGCGGCTCGGCCGCGAGATAAGAGAAAGGGAAGAAGAGGACAGACGGACACTACCGTACATACTCGTACTCGTTAGGTCTACAAAATCGACCGTCTGACTAGTCGCTTTCCCACTAGTTAGGGACAGCGATTCATACCGAGTTCTTGTGACAAAAAGTAAGTAGTTTTCATGCAGTGGACATTCAGCTCGGAGGAGAGAAATGCAGTTAAACCATTTATTTAGATATGCATCGAGATATGAGGTTGCCAATGTGGTCCTCGCGCATTCATGAACTTTTGAAACTCAGTCGACCAAGACTTGTTTTGGACCAACCACAAAGCTCGCGTCGAGGAGAATGGAGTAAGTCGACTGCCAAGCAATTTCAGCATCGCAAATCGGGAATGGAATCGTCAGGAAAATCTAGTGGATACAGGTGCCGTGGTGGATCGAACGATCAGCAGCCGAGAGGTGACTGCCACGACCGCCAAGACACCCTTCATCGCCGATTCGAGTGCTTAAGTGGTCAGGGCAAGGGGGCCAAAGATGCTAAGACTTCCGAATAGCTTCAGCACCCCTCTCTTTGTCTCTCGTTTCTTTGTTTTTCGTCGGCGCAATTTTTTAAAGTTCTTGCCAGTATCCCCCATGTCAAAGCTTTCGGAAAGGTTTTCTGACTTTTTTTTTTGTTTTCTTTTCCAATTTCTTTCCTTTTCTCAAACTCATCTTTCTCTTGTCTTTCCTCTCCCCAACTTTTTATTTTATTTCTGTCAATCCAACTTTTCCGTTGCCATTTCCTTTGAATGACTCAACTTTCCCTCCTCTTCACTTTTTGCCCATGTGCCACCACGTCTCAAACCTTACGGGGAGGCGGAAGTAGACTTAAAATAATAACAACAACAATAACAAGCCCATGTGATACCACTTCAGTGACTCGCGGTTTCTTTCCCATTTGGGTCCTCCCAAGCTTTTCCCAGCTGCCTATCGGCTCTCTCCATTCCTCCCCTCTATCTCCTCTACCCCGCCATGATCCTCTCAGCTCCTGCCTGTTTCTCATCTGCCACATGACGGCATATCCTTGTCCCAGGCTCCCAGCCTGTCTCCTTACATCCATAGGTTTGAGGCAGTAGCTCTTCCGGACCGCCTGCGTTGTTTGCACGTAGGCAGGCGCTGTGAAAAAGGGTCCGGGGCCGCTTACGCCAAACCACACCAAGAGAGTGTCCCGACTGTTTTTTCCACAGTGCCTGGTAGGTACTGTAGGCCTTCAGGCGTGACAGTCGCCTTCAAATACCGTAGCAGAGGCATCGGTGATACAAGCTTCCCGCCGTGGTCATGAGAAGCCTAAAGAAAAGCAATGGAAGGTTCTCGGCCCGGACGTTATGGTCGATAGGCACCACATACTCTCCAGGGCCTGGGCCGTTGGGAAATGCCCTGTCGCTACCTACAGTGCCATGGCACATCGTGGTGCTTATGAGGCAGGGATGGTCTCGCAAAGCCGTCGTTCAGTATTGGCGCCGTTCACATCCAAGGATAAGGGGAAAAGGCCCGGCCAGTGCGCCCTAAATCATGGGTTGGCTTTCAGATTCGGACAGAAGCGACAAAGATAGGCAGAGGGCAGTCAGGAACTTTCTCGGCACGGATGCAGTAGCCATTAGATTCGGTCCACAAGGTAAGTAGATAGGTTACCAAAGGCAGAATAGGTTAGCACGACCCATTATCGGAAACAGAAGACCGTTCCGGGCCCGGCGGGATGTGAAAAAAAGGGACCTGACTTCTTGCGGATCCAACCAACCTAAACTTATCCTCCTCTCGGTTGAGCCATTCAATGGAATTTCTGTTGTTCCTTCGGGGAATCGGGCTCTATTCTCGACCCGACAATGAGAGAAAACCCATCACCATCAGGGCTCCACCGTAGCTTATCTTTGCTCTTGGACACCACTGTTTGCTACTGACATTCTTTGCCAGTCTTCCACTTGACTTCCAAGCCCAATGCCCTCCTGCGACGACCGACCGCCATCCGCGAACTCGCTGCCGACCCTACGATCGTACGAGACACATACGAGAACGAGTGACTTTGCTTCCCTCCTCCTCGTCCCCGTGTACGTCCCGCTGTTTCTAGATGGAAGAGCCGACGTGAAAGACGAAACAATACGTGCAAGCGGATGGCAATAACGATCAAGGAAAGACGGAGGATTGAGTTACCGAGTCAGCCCAACATATATCATATACCTAATGTACAGTCCCATCTTATGGTGAGACAACAAGAGGATGTTGCGAGTACTCACAACTGGCAGTCACGATTCGACACAAGAACAACAGGAAGAGGAAGAAGAAGAAGAAGAAGAAGAAGAAGAAGAAGAAGAAGAAGAAAAACATGCATGATTTATGGATTTTATGTCTTTTTGTCGGATACGAAAAGGCTCCCTCGTAAGCTCTCACAGGTACAGGCTGACATACCGCAGTGTTGGAATACCGACACTGGAATGTGCCCTGCTTGCCCGGGCGGATGCTCTGTCAATTCCCATTCTGGTACACTGACAGTGTACAGCCCATACGGCGACAGCTCTGTATGGAACCAGTACAACACAACACCAGTGCCACCTCCAGTGCCAGTGCCAGTCCCAGCAGCAGCTCACTCTACTCCTGCCATTGACACTTTTGTTGTCGGCAGGGGCGGAGACTGCGGAGTGTCGGGAGTGGAGGTGTGTGGGAATAACTTCAACCCAGCAGCTGGCCGACCAATAATGCATAATGTTGCAACCCATCATCATCATCAGCACCATCCTGGAGGTAGAGATTGGAAAGATGTCATGGTCGGCGACGGCGTCAATCAGAATCAGCTCGACTCGGCATTCTCCGTCGGGAGCGTAGGGGGGTTCCCACAACAGCATTGTCAGCAGCAGCATGAAGCCCACCAGCTAGACCAGCACCAGCACCAGCATCAGACCCAGCCGCAGCATTTTTTGTCAGGCCCGACGCACTCCGCCGACGACGCCGCCCTTTCCATGTCCATGCAATAAGAGCCAGTACCGGTGCTATACGGACTTGGCACTTCTCCCTCGGCGTTGCCGGTAGCTGCCCCAGGATATCCCGGCTCACATCAGGAAGGGTTGATGCCCTTTCAGCAGCAACAGCAGCAACAGCAGCAACAGCAGCAGCAGGCCTATGATGGCATGGCACATCACCACCACTCCGATGGTCATTATCCACCGAACTCGATGATGGTAGCGAGTCCGAACTTGTATTCGGGATACCCCAGCATCGAGACGAGGCATCAGCAGGGCGGCAACTCCTTCGGGACATACGCCCACGACGGGCATCACCCACACCACCCTATGGGCGCCACCGAGACGAACTTGATAATGGTGATGGACATGGGTGCGGAAATGAAAAGACAAAGGGGGATCGGAAGAGAAATGGAAAGAGAAATAGAAATGGAAATGGAAATGGAAATGGAAATGGAAATGGAAATGGAAATTGAGACGGGGGACTTCAGCGGTAGCAGCCAAAAGCAGCAGCACCACAACCCCATCAACAACAACACAAGAGAAATGATCATAGTGCCTGGCAAACAGCAGCAGCACCACAGACAGGGACAGGGGCAGCCCAACTATGTTATGCCCATTTCCAGGTCATCGGGAGCCTTTGACACTATCGGCGTCGGCGTCGACAGCCCGAGTTGTCAATCATCATCGGCATCCCGATCCGTGGCGGTGTTGCCTTCCATGAACTTGGACTTCATGAACATGAATATTGTGGTGAGTGTTGGATTGTGGGCAGGTCAAAGACCCCCCTCATCTCCATGACATTTTTCTTTTTCGATTTTCTTTTTCTTTTTTGATTTTCTTTTTCTTTCTTTTGTTTTCCTTCCCGGGCACTTTAGACGAAACGAAGCATCTGACTCTTTCAACTTCTCCAGACTCAGATTTCTCCGATGCTGAGTTCGATGCCGAGGTATGACGGGCAACAACACGACGAGCAACGAGGACAACAAGAATATAATCAAAGGGCAATGGGAGTTGTACTTGCACTTGGCCCGCGCGCGGACAGCATGCAGCTGAATATGAAAAAGATAAAGAATACTCGACAGCAAAAGGAAAAAGCGAGGAGGCCGAAGGCAAAGAGCCCGGATGATGATAAAGATCCTCAGAATGAACGACGACACGAGGCCAGGAACAATGAAAGGAAAACAGAAAAAGGTCATGCCTCGGGATTGCGACTTCATGTCGACAGTGGCAGTATGGAGGTGGATGGGGAGGGTAGAGGTATGGACGGGGAGCCGGATGATGGGGCAGGCCAAGAAGATGAAGAACAAGAAGGAGAAGAAGAAGAGAAGGATGGCGTCAATGGCGATGAAGAAGGCAGCAAAGGGGCAGAAGAAAACGAGCAAGAGAAAGAGCAAGGAGAAGAAGAACGGGAAGAAAGTCGGAAGCGACAAAAAGCTGGAAATATACTCACCAAAAGAAGAGTTGACCGAGATCACAGCAGCATGGTTCAGGTTCCCATGGTCGACGGCATTGGCCTTGGTGTTCGTGGCCGGGCCGCCGGTGTCAGTATCGGCGTCGTCGATGGCAGTCCTCCTCCTCGCACAGCACTCCCATCACCCCTTTCCTCCACAACACAATCGCACCCCACACCATCATCACCACCCTCAGGTCCAGGTGCATGTTCAACACAATATGTGTTTCAATCATACCTCTCACCACCTCCTCCTCCTCATCTCCCACCATCCTCATCCTCATCATCACCATCATCGTCATTTTCGTCATTCCTCGCAACCGCCCGCCACCACCAGCCCCCGAACCGCGTCCAACGCAACCGCTCCGCTGCCACGCGCTACCGGACCAAAAGCAAAGCGGCACAGGCCACCCTGGAATTGTCGGTGCAGGAGCTCAGCTCGCGCCGGCATCAGCTGCGCTCGACCCTCAAGGTGCTTGAACAGGAGAAGTACGAGCTCAAGACGGCGATACTGCAGCATGTGACGTGCGACTGCCACTCGATAAGGGAGTACTTGAAAGGGGAGGCTATGAGGATCTTGATGAGGGGGCAGGAAGGGGTGAGCAGCGCCAGCAGCGGCCAAGGGAAAGGGGAAGGAGGAGAAGGAGGCGGCGGTGGCGGCGGTGGCGGCGGTGGGACGGAGGTAAAGAGTATGAAGGGGGTAGTAGACTCGGAGATGGTTGGGGCAGGCAAGGAGTTAGGGGGGGTGGGGGATAGGTGAGTGAAAGGGGGTTAAGGGGGTGAAGGTGGGTTGAAGGGCTTGAAGAGGATGAGGAAGTGGACGACGAGAAGATAAAACAAGAAGGGGGGGCGGATGAGAAACATGAAAGAAAGCGGCAGGTCATGACTGACGAACGAGCCTGGTGAGGAAAGGCAAGGTGAAGGTGAAGGTGAAGGTATCTGATTTCGGAGTTCGGACGGTACACGCAAGCGGTTTTTTTCCCTCTTTTCTTTCCTTTCTTTTTTCTTTCTTTCTTTCT